TATCCCTCCACCATGAATGGAGTTTAAGGTCTCAAAACTATCATAAAACAGTGTCTCAGTCATCAGGCAGTGAATTCATAACCATTTCATGTAGGAACTTTCTGTGAGGGAGCTTTTAGAGGTGGACGTCTGGTTCCTATCACCACCACTGTGAACAGCTCTGACTGTCTAGAATGGACTGATTCGCCCCAAAGCACTCGATTTGTTTACATCTTAACGTTTAATTATGCAGGAATTTTGGGTTACTTTGGGGACTATTTTGCCTCACAACACCCTGCGTGTATCCCTCCACCATGAATGGAGTTTAAAAGTTTGTTTTAGGCCAAAACTCTCTCGCAACTATTATTAAAGTCTTTAGATGCATTAACCTCTTCAGTCATCTGGTCCCCATCACCACCACTGTGAACGATTCTGACTCTCTATAATGGAGCGTTTCACACCAAAACACTCTGAGTGACTTTGTTTACATTGATTTAATGATGCAGAAGTTTTGACACATCAGTAAATTTCTGCTTAAATTCACTGAAAGTGCAGCTGTTTTGAATCAGTGGCGGCTCTTTCCAGCACCTGAAGTCAGCAAACACCCACCAAAGACCTTCGGGAACGGACCACTCACAGAGTTCTTTCACTCAGAATCACGTGGCGACTACTTTGCAGATTGTTCCTGTAGCTCAGCTGGGATGATAGGCTTCAAGAGATGTGTGGAGGGGGGAGAGGGGCTATTTGTGAGGGGGTAGTAGGGGTCAGAGGTTGAATAGTGAACTCTCAGGCCTGAGAAGTGTAACTTCTCCACTGGTCCAGAACCTCTACGAGATCTTGAGCTCGGATTGTTGAAGGTGGATTAAGGAACCTGAGGGATTCAATCAATCAATCAACCTTTATTTAATCTTGGAGAACATTGAGGGTGACCCTCATTTACAATGTTGCTGAGTTGATACAGAACAAGGGATTGATAATGTGTGAGAACATATCAAATAATAAAATTAAATTTAATAAAAAAATGACTCACATCAGGTAAGTATAAACAATACAATAGAAAATATAAAACAATAATTAAAACGTAGCTAAAATGTAAAAGTTAATAAAATCAATCAAATCAAAATAAAATAAAAGGAGAAAAAGATCAAAAAGTAAACTAAAAATTAATTAAAGTGACTAAAACAGTGAAGTAAAACCCCTCGGTACCTGGCGTGTGATCCAACCACTGGAGCGAGTCTGATAAATACCTTTATTTACTGACACCGTTGAAGTAACATATTCTATTCCAGCATTGGGTGGCCATTTAGCCTATATTTGTTTATTTTTAAGCATTTTTTAACACTGAATCTAAGAGTTCATGCACTTAACCATTCAAAAAATGTGTTAAACATCCTTTTAAACATGTTTTACATGTTTTCTTTGCTGAAAATGCCTTAAATTAGTAACGTTCCTAGCACTGAAATAGCAAATGCACGCAACGTGGCTAACTAGCATCCATGCTAATGCCTTTAAGGAAAGTCTGACAAATTACTTAAAATTAATTTGTTTTTTTTTAATAATTTAAATTCAGTTTATAATTTAGACCATGTTGATGACCTTACCAGTCAATTTTACTGTATCACTGAAAAATAAACACTAAAAAATGTCAAATTTAATCTTCAGTAAGCTGATGCTAATTCCAGTTGAACATGTGGTTTGTGGAATATTCCAGATATTTTATAAGGGTGACTGTAGAGAGCTGAGTGAATGCTGAGGCACTAAAATGTACACTTTTTTACTTTATGAAAATGGTTCTATACAGCACCAAAAAGGGTTCCTCTACATTTACGACGTCAAGCTTGTAACAACAGCAGAACCCTTTTTGGTGCTGTATAGAAACACAAACAACACATTCTCCATTAATCTGAAGAACCTTTTTACCATGCAAAGAACCCTTTAAGCATGCAAATGGTTCTCTGTGTGTTCATGGTTCTATTTTGCACCATTGCTATTACTAAGAACCCTACAGAACCATCGTTTTTAAGTGTGTATAATGGGTGAGATGTTAAATAGACTCACATTAATGCAAAAATAGTCTTTTTGAGATATTTTAATGGCTGTATTTCAGTGAACAGTGCCCTAGGACATTATGGATTATTAATGTTTTAAGTTATTTCTGTGAAACATACGTTGTTGTGAAGGACTCTTATTAGGACTCTTATTTATACTTTACTCTTTGAACGTTTATCGTGCTGCTTCATTATGTCGCCTGTTTATTTTCAGTTACATTTATCATTTATTTATGACTTTAGTTTTACATTTTTGCTCTAATTTGTTTTACGTTTTGTGTTAAAAAGGTGCCACAGAGAGAAAAAGTGTCATTATTGTTATTATAACTTTGTTTACATGTTCATAAATGAACAAAATACAAGCAAAATGTGCTTATAGAAAGTTTAAATAAATAAATTTACTACTTAATCATGTTTAATCTGATATACAAACAATTCTCATGTTTATATCTTTTAGTTTTATAAATATTAATATATGGTATATTTTAAAAAGCTAAGCTACGGCTAACAACTTTTAGAGAGTTTTCACTTTCCACAGAGTTTCCATGGCGACGCCCCTCGCGTTGCAACCCCATAGCAACAAACCCCGCCCCCTGTTTTCGTATTGGTCAGCAACACGGCGCCTCGTGTTTTAAGATTGGCTAGTAGTTCATACTCGCAAGATGTTGTAGCCAATCAGAGCGCAGGGGACGCGACTGTTTCTAGCCAATCGGAGCGCGGTAAACGTGAATCAGGGCGGGAAAATGCAGCGCGCGCTTCAGGTTGCCGGAGTGACGGTTTGCACTCAGTGTAAGAAAAAAACGCACGAGGGGCGGCGAGGAGTTCGATTCAGTTCACCAAACCGATTCTTTAAAACTGTCCGCTTCACCGAATCGAACGCGGGAATCATTCTTCAATGAACCGAGTCGCCGGATTCATTGATTCACAAGCCAATGCAGCCGTTTAAAGGATTTTACTGACGAGGCTGCTTTGCATATAAACCCGCCGACGCAACTCCAGGATCCAGAGTATAATTAACTAAAATAAAGTCTTTATACAGAGCAACCTAATACTTTTATTTCTCGGTAGTATGTACATGCACGTGCATGTAAACAAGTATGTTAACAAAACAAAACAAAAAATAAACAATAAAGGATCATAAGAGAGCTCATAAAGCAAACACACAACATAAGAATAAACAGTTTAATCTGTCATAAACAGCCCTGGGAGAGTTGATCATTCACTCTGTGGCATGCAGGGACACACGCAGCATGTTTTGTGTCCCTTTCCTAAAGGACAGTTCCACCCGTTTTTCCAAAATTCCTGCATAATTAAATTAACTTACCGAGTCAGAACTGTTCACAGTGGTGGTGATAGGAACCAGACGTCCACCTCTAAAAGCTCCCTCACAGAAAGTTCCTACATGAAATGGTTATGAATTCACTGCCTGATGACTGAGACACTGTTTTATGATAGTTTAGAGAACTTAAACTCCATTCATGGTGGAGGGATACATGCAGGGCGCTGTGAGGCAAAATAGTCCCCAAAGAAAACTTATTATTTCAGATTTTCCACTATTTTCCATCATCAACATTCCATATAAACTCAGAAGACTCGTGTAGGTTCACTGGTGGTTCTGGATAGTAAATAAAATGTCTATATTTGTGTTGTAGTCATGGCGACCCCTGGTTCCTATCACCACCACTGTAAAGACATCTGAACCATTTCACACCAAACCACTCTGAATCTCTCTGTTTACACCTCACACACTGAATTATGGGGTAATAACAGTAAAATTAGCCTTTAACTGTTAACATAATGAGATTTTCTGAGAGTTATTTTGCATCACTGATCCAATAATCACGACATTATTAAAATGACAACAGTGGTTCTATGAGGTTTTGTTCCAAAAGCAACGTTCTACTCAAGAATACAGGTGAGAAATGTAAACTACTCAGTTCCATTTTCTGTTGTCAAACAGGAAAACCACTGATTTTCCCACATAACTCAGTGTGTGAGATGTAAACTGAGAGATTCAGAGTGGTTTGGTGTGAAGTGGTTCAGATGTCTTTACAGTGGTGGTGATAGGAACCAGGGTTATTAAGTGGTTGTGTAAACAGCACTGTCTGATTTCTTAGATTAGATCAGGTTCTCTAAATCTGATGAACAAATCTGATAAAGAGAGCAGTTCTGGATCTGGAAAATAGCTCTAGTGTGAAAACACCCAGTCCATCCAGTATCTGTCGCCTCAGGACCTGAAGTTTAGACTCTACTCTGCTCTTTGTGGATCTATTGGTCTAAAGTAAAATGCTGAAGCTCCAAAGTCAGAGGTGTGATTAACAGCAGAACCGAACCAACACAGCAGAGTGAAATTAAACCCCCAAAAAGGACTTAGGAAATAGAGATTACTGACTAAAAAGTGAGGAAATTCACTTCCTAACAGAAACAGCATAAAGCAATGTTTGATTCAGTTGGAGCAGTGAATCGGTTCGACCTGTTCGAAAGGACCTATTCGTTTTAAGGCTGACATCTAGTTACTCCCTCTCCGAGAGAGATAGAGACATAAAGAGAGAACCACAAACAGAGAGATGAAGCATTTTAATTTTTGCATATATAATAAAAGTTTGATGCAGCTGGAGTTGTGGACGGAAACAAACTGGCTCAAAAGAACCGATTCATTCAGGAGTCGGACCTAGTCACTTTCTATCTGAGAGAGAGAGAGAGAGAGAGAGAGAGTCAGAAGGTAGAAGGAGAAAGAGACAGAGTGAGATAATTTACATGTTCTATATAAAGAGCACAAATACTACAAAAAAGATAGATTCAGCTGGATCTGGGAATCGAACCGGTTCAAAAGAACCGATTCGCTCGCGAGTCGGACCTCACTAGATACTCTCTCTCTCTCGAAGAGTGAGACAGATGTAGAGAGAGAGACGGCGAGAGAGTATATGTTCCGTACAAACAGCAATAATACTACAAAAAAACTTTAGTTCGATCTGTGAATCGAACTTGTTAAAAAGAACCGATTCTTTTGAGAACCTCGCCAGGTTCTCGCTCTCTAGGAGGAGAGAGAGAGAGACAAAGAGAAAGAGAGAAATACAGAGAGAGAGAGACAGATACACAGTGTATGTTCTGTATGAACATTAAAAAAATACTTCAAATAAGTTTGATTCTGTTGGACGTGTGAATCGAACTGCTTCAAAAGAACCGATTCGTTCAGGAGGTGGATCTCGCTAGTTACTCCCTCTCTGAGAGAGAGAGAGAGAGAGAGAGAGAGACGCAGGCAAACCAACACCTTTGAGCCGAAAGTTAGCCCAGCCCGGGGCTAAGAGGCGCTAGCTAGTAGTTTTCGACTGGTTAACCTTGGAGGAAAGCAGCGAAGCGCGGCGGCGGATTTTACCGGAGGGCTTTCGTTCGCGTGGCGCCGAGTTTCGGACCTGTTGCGGATCCACCGAGAGGCCGAGCTGCTCGCTACTCCCCTCAGTGTGTGTTGGGGATGCTGGGCTTTCTCCGCGGTTTGCGTCCAGCGTTCCCTCTCCGAGTTCATAGCGAAGTGGCCGCTCACTGAGGAGGTCAGTGTGTTTGTACAGTCTGAATGCCCTAAAAGCTTGTGTGCTGCTTTTGTGCTGTGTTGTGGCTCCTCAGGCGGGAGAGACCACGAAGCTTCTCCTTCTCCAGCTTCTTACTCGAACTTTCCGTTCCACCTTAAATGGCGCAGCAGTTGCTCCCTTTAAGGTGGAACTGCGAGTGTAATTTCTGTCCGAAGAGACGAGTTTAATGTGAGAGAGTGAGGAAGTTCACCTCTACATACTTAACATCTTGGGACTTTTATTTTTCCCACCTTCAGCTATGAGCTTTAAAGGGGAACTCCACTAAATTTTTCAAAATTCCTGAGTTAAACCAGTCCTACCAACACTCATTCAGAGTGGTTTGGTGTGAAATGGTTCAGATGTCTTTACAGTGGTGCTGATAGGAACCAGGGGTCGCCATGACTACAACACAGATATAGACATTTTATTTACTATCCAGAACCACCAGAGTTTTCTTGGGGGACTATTTTGCCTCACAGCGCCCTGCATGTATCCCTCCACCATGAATGGAGTTTAAGTTCTCTAAACTATCATAAAACAGTGTCTCAGTCATCAGGCAGTGAATTCATAACCATTTCATGTAGGAACTTTCTGTGAGGGAGCTTTTAGAGGTGGACGTCTGGTTCCTATCACCACCACTGTGAACAGTTCTGACTCGGTAAGTTTCTCTAGAAACCAAACCACCCTGAACCGCTCTGAACCTCTCTCAACTGCTCTGTTTACATCTTTACTATTTAATTATGCAGGAATTTTGAAAAATAGGTGGAGTTTCTCTTTAACATGCTGTGTGGTGAAAGTTTTGTTGCAGTCAGATCTTCATATGTTTATGTTTACAGGGTTTGTGAGTGGTTAGTCACTGCAGTGATACTTAAATAAGCTCCGTATCCAAAAGCAGTTATTGTTTTCATTTTTAACCACATTTTTAAATAAAGTATGAGAGGTTTGTGCTCAGATTCACCCTAATAAGTCGTAAAGCTGTGTGTTTGTTATGAAGATTAACACATAAAGCTGCTGGTTTTGCTGGATCGTTGACTTTCTGCATGGAAGCTTCTCATGTTTCCAGTTTTCTTGCTTGTTTATAGTTCACTGGTAAGTGATGGTTGAGCAGATGACCACCAAACTGTGGCCTAGAGATGCCAATCCAACCCCAGGCTGCGGTGACGGCCTGTATGATCCAATCACAGTCCATTGTTTTTATTTAGTTTGCTGTATTTACCTACACGGTGTCTGGATTCGCGTGTCCGTACGGCCTGAAGCCGCTGCAATCCCAAATAAGGGCTGGACGATTAATCGCATTTATTTTCAGTTACGATTTCAGCCTCTATTGATTATGAAAGCAAGATGGTTGAGATAAACCGATAAATTCAGCACGCCCCTTTACATCTGTACGCCTTCCTGAAAGCTGGGGCTGGGCGATTAATCGCTTTTATATCGAATCAGTTTTCGAATCGCAAGAGATGCAGTTTTTAAAATTCGCTCATGTTATCAAACCTGTCTTAAGTTGTTTTAGAGGGGAAATTTAACCTCAGAGCCTGTGAGCTGCCTGTAGATGAGTTAGACCAATCAGAGGCAGCCAAACCTCCATCTCTTGTGACATCACAGCCACAGCTCCCTGGCTGTCTGACGCGCTGCACTCAGGGCTCGAGCCTCAAGGTCGCAGTTTAAGCCTGGCTAAAAACCCAAACTCACCTCTTTTATTTCTGTTTATTATTTTTATATACGGTCAGTAGTTTTCAGTGGTTGCAGACGTGCGCGACAACTTTGATCTTATTTATTTTGATGTTATTAATTTTTGTTGATATTTAAATTAGTAATGTAAAAACGTGTGTATGTGTGTGTTCTTGTAGTGCTATACTTGTGAGGACCCCATGTCCTCGCTATGATAGGACTATATGAAATTTTTGCTCATTTGAGGACATTTTGCTGGTCCACACTTGAGCGTCTGTCGTTTTCACCACAATTACTTTTTTATTTGAAAAGTAAAAGAGCAGAAAAATTGCCTTTTGGACACTGAGGTTAAGGTTAAGGTTTAGGTTTAGGTGTAGTATTACTGAGCTACAGTAACACAAAAATCAATAGAAACCTATGGACGTCCTCATATGTATAGCAAGACAAACGTGTGTGTGTGTGTGTTTTATTCATATATATGTGTGTTTTATTTAGTTTCAGTTAAAGTTCAAGGAAATCTACAGGCTTTTTAAAGGTTCAGTAAATGCCTGATGATGTTCCCGAAGTTAGTGAGTATTCGTGTTAAAGACAGTAATCGTGAGCTCAATATTGACCAGAATAATCGTGATCATGATTTTTTCCATAAAGAAAATCGAGCAGCCCTAATCCTAATCCTAATCCCAAGGCAGAGATCATCAGTGTGAAAATGTTGTTGTATTCTGTTGCATGTGGCTGTTTTTGTTCCCTCTGAAATCCCCTCGGGAACTCCGAGTTTCTGGGGTTCTTCGGATTGAGGGAGAATGTGCTGTAGATGGTTCCCTTTTCTAAAAGGTTCTATATAGCACCGAAAAGGCTGTTGCTGTTGTTATGATGTCACGCTTGTTACAATAGAAGAACGCTTTTTGGTGCTATACAGTACCCTTTTCAAAAAGGTTCTATCTAGAACCACAAAACAACACATTCTCCGTCAATGTGAAGAACCCTTTCACGATGCAAAGAACACTTTAATCATGTGTAGCTCTGTTCTAATTCACTGCCGTTTGTAAATGTGTTCTAATTGGCTGTCGTATGTTAATTAGCCCTGTTTTGACTGGCTGCCATGAGAAATAAGATGCTTTGATATTTATTTAGTTCAAATAGAACCCACTGGTTTTGTTAATGAGCCTTTAAGACCGATATGTAAATTACCTCTGTTCTGATTGGCTGCCAAGCATTAAGCTTGTCTTAAGGCTGACTTTGTATGTTTCACCTTTCTGAGTGACGAAATTGGAGGACGGGTTTTAACGTCAGTGTGAAGCCAATTAAGGTATAAGTGGTTCTGTTTGCGTCTGATTGGCTGCTGTGGGCGTGGCTTTGCCGCCTGACCTGAGGAGCAGCACATGACCTTCACGCTGACCAGTAAAGAAAGGCATTTGCCGGTCAGGGACGTTGGTCAGGGACGTTGGTCGGGGATGCTGGTCGGGGATGCTGGTCGGGGATGCTGGTCGGGGATGCTGGTCAGGGATGCTGGTCAGGGATGCCGGTCAGGGATGCCGGTCAGGGACACTCATGGTCCGTCTTTTCTCGTCAGTGTGTCGTTCCAGACATACCGTGACGGAAGACCCCTTAATTTTTATGGGCAGTGTTGCTGTATAGTGGTCATTTCAAAGTGACTGAACAAGCTCAAACAAGGTTCTGCTTCAGAACGTTTCACAAAAAGAACAGACAAGCAGAGTGGACGAGTGTGGACGGAGGAGAAAGTTCTAGATCTTTCAGGTCGTTGGGTTGAAGTGAAGGTGACTGGACGTTCAAAGACGCTCCAAGGCGATGAAGCGGTGAAACGTCTTCGGTCAGCTTGATAATCTTCTTCTAGACTCTTAAAAAGATGGTTCTTCAAGGGTTCTTTAGTAAAGAAAGTGGTTCTGTATAGAACCTTTTTTGAAAATGGTTCTGTATAGCACCCAAAAGGGAACTTCTCTTGTTGTGATGTAAAGCTTGTAGCAGTAGAAGAACCCTTTTGGGTGCTATTAAGAACCTTTTTAAAAAAAATTCTATATAAAATCATCTGTAGCACATTTTCCATCAGTCTGAAGAACCATTTCATGATGCAAAGAACACTTTAATCATGCAAAAGGTTCTTTGAGTGTTCATGGTTCTGTGTTGACACATTTTCTAAGGAACTCTAATGAGAACCATCTTTAAGAATGCAGACTTGCTATAAGTTACAGACTGTAGTCCATCTGTTTCTCTGATACTTTGTTAGCCCCCTTTTACCCTGTTCTTCAGTGGTCAGGACCCCCATGGACCCTCACAGAGCAGGTACTATTTGGGTGGTGGATCATTCTCAGCACTGCAGTAACACTGATGTGGTGGTGGTGTGTTAGTGTGTGTTGTGCTGGTACGAGTGGATCAGACACAGCAGTGCTGCTGGAGTTTTTAAACACCTCAGTGTCACTGCTGGACTGAGAATAGTCCACCAACCAAAAATATCCAGCCAACAGCATCCTGTGGGCAGCGTCCTGTGACCACTGATGAAAGACTAGAGGATGACCAACACAAACTGTGCAGCAGCAGATGAGCTATCGTCTCTGACTTTACATCTACAAGGTGGACTGACAAGGTAGGAGTGTCTAATAGAGTGGACAGTGAGTGGACACAGTGTTTAAAGACTGTGTCTGGGTCTTTCGCCGTCCTGTGCAGCGCAGCTGAGCTGGAGTTCTGGTTTCTTGGTGCTGCTGCGTCTGCTGGCGGTGTTATTCAGTTCTGGCCCGTCTCCACTGAGGAAATGCCATCTCCGCTGTTCCGCCGCAGAGGGGTGTGTGCAGCGCAGCTCTGCAGGACTCTGCACTTTCCACTCCGAGTCTCGCTCCCATTCCTGCTGAACGCGCTCCGCACAGGAACGCTGGAGCCCTGTCGGAGCTGGAATCAGCAGGGCTGGGCGATATGATGATATATATTGTTATTGTGATAAATTATGTCAGTCCAATACAGTATTGTGTATATCATCAGTATTTATAGACACTGACCAACTGTTTCATTATTAAGAGAGCAAAATTAGTCTCTCTAACTGGATTTAGTGCCAGATATTGAATAAAAATCACTGTGTTCCAGTTTTTGATGGTATTTTTTCAAACGTAGCTCTGCAGCAGCTGAGTGGAAGTTTGGCCGTAGGTTGGGGTGTAAAGTCCATCATAAACATTAGAGAGTCGATAGTTTAAAACTAGCAATGTAAAATTTCGGTTGCGCCACAGACACTTACAGTACATCTTAACGAGGAGCTAGAGGCGGGCGATACGGCCAAAAACGTCATCACGATAAACAAATTTCGATAGCTG